ATAAATATATACTAACTTCTCATCCTACACACCATATATATACATATGCAGTACATATGTATAAACATATATAATATAAGTTTTAAATATCAATGTCTTTAAGTAAGAAGTGGTAAGTGATCAAGTCTAAATCCTCCAAAAGAAGGATCAGTAGTCTGGGGTTGTGTAACATTCATAAAATATTGCTGGCTAAGTAAGCGCATGTGCTCTTGGAATCTCCTCTCAAAGCTGGCCTTTATCTTTAATACTCTCTGTGATACCTCTATATGAATATGTGTAGACGCCTCTGTCTGAACTCGCTCAGCCATTTCTTCCCGAACTTGAGTAAACTCAGACTGCAACTGTTGGACCTGTGTCGTAAGAATCCTGGTGGTAGAAGAGGAGACCTCACTCATGTCATATCATCACCAAGGGATGCCATGCTCTACTAGATCCTGTAATGTAGACATTCCTCTCATCTGACCCTTTTTAGGAGGTCTAACCACCTCTTTCCAGAGAAGTGGATCCCATTTTGGCCACGAATCCTTGTTTGGCTCATGCTTCTCCACATATTTTTGGTGAGCATCGTTCTGTTTCAAAAATAAAATTTTCATTAGTTAGCAATTTCAAATGATAATGGGAAATCAAATGAAAAATAATCATTTCCTAAGTACAATGGATAAAAAATTGTATCACTTTTCTTCTTTTAGGGTAATATGACATTAAAAATAAATAAAATTAATATCATAGAAGAATCAGATTCTTACATATGTCTGCTCAACCTGTGGACATATCCAAGTGGGTGGGGCATCTTCTAGAGCATCAAGTCGATGAGTCGTGTGAGTCAACAAGTACGACTTTAAAGGTGTCTGCCTAACTCCTCCTCTTTTAGCTGCCTATTAAAACATCAATAAAATCAATAACATTTCCATTTTTATGGTAAACAAAAATAATTTATATATGTATATATATAAGTATATCCTCCTAACTAGTCAATCCTCGTGGATTCCAATAGAAAGGCATCTAGTTGTGTGGGTCACACGGTCACCCTTTGCTTGGTTTTGCCGACCTCTTTCCTAGAGTGCAATATATTTTGGACTCCTCCATTTTGCCAACAAAATTTTAAAGGTATCCTTATGCATGAACTTGAGCAACTTCTTGTGCTTGACCCACACCTTTCGAGCTCAATGAAGCTTATCTCAGAAACAGTTCCGACAATGTAATCTCCAAATTTTATACACATGAGCATCATCTTCTTCCCAATAATATGTCCTCTGCAGTGAAAAAAAAAATTAAATGTTAATAATTTATTTGATTTTTCTTAAAAAAAGAACAAAGTTGCCCTTAAATTATCATTTTTTTTCACTATTAATAAATAAAATATAAAAAATCATATAAAATATATCTTGTACTTCCATATCAAATGCCATAAAATAAAATGATAGCATCTAAATAAATTCTCAAAAAATACTTTATTTTATTCTATAATTTTCATACTTAGAAATTCTCCCAAGCAACCCTCTTCTTTTCCTCAGGCCAGTTAGACCAAAAAAGCACTGGCTTATCATACAAGTACTTCCATATTACTGTGGCAGTCCACCCAAACCTCTCAT